TATATATGTGTGTGTGTGTGTGTGTGTGAAAACCATGTCGTGAGAGTTAGCATGTCGTGATGGTTTCCTTGCTAAAATTCCAAACATTTAGCAGCATGGTTTCTATTAGATGAGTCTGTCAATAGTTGGATTGAAGAACACACATGCATTGTGTTGGTTATCAATGCATAATAGTTATCCTTATGGTTTAATTGGTTTTAATTTTGTTGTGTTTGAACCATTTAGCAAATTATATATCTCTAAGGCATGGTTTTGGGTCATTTAGATACATTTGTGGCGCCACTTTATCAAACTCATCAATGTAAGGGGTGGGTTCTGCATAATTTAGTAGCATATAATTATGTTGTTTATGTGTTCGCTATGGGGGGTATGACAACTAGTTATATGTCGAAGTTATAGAAGAGTATTTCTCTTTCAACAACATAAGCGGAGTACATGGTGATTGCAGAAGCAAACAAAGAGCTTATATGGTTAAAGAACTTCATATAAGAAATTGGGATGCAACAGGAAGATTGTGTACTACATTATGAAAACATAGTGCAGTTTATTTGGCTAAGAGTTTAGTGTTTCATAGTAGGACGAAAGGCAAGGTACCACTTTATCTGAGAAATGATATGTAATGGTATCCTGGACCTGAAGAAGGTCGTTGGTTCAATGATTCCAGCAAATATGTTTACTAATGTGGTGGCAACAGAGAAGTTGAAGTTGTGTACAACTTTAACTAGCCTTTCAGGTACTTGAGGAAAATGCATGAGAGAGAGAGCTACAAAGTTCTAGATTGGATGACATTAGTCTAGTGGAGCATGATTCATCATTTTGACATTATAGCCACTAGGCAGACCCAACATGGGGTACCGCTTGTGTTTGCTTCTGGACGTAGCCGACCACTCTGATTGTATGAACCACGTAAATTGATTGTGTTCTTGTTTTTTCTTTTGCAGTATTATTATATATGAAATCGTTCATTTATTTGTTGAAGTGCTTAAAACCTAATATTATTGACCAAGTTGTTGACCAAGCCTAATTTGGATCAACGAATAATCTGAATTAAAATTTACTTTTTATCTTTTAAATAAAGAAAATACAACAAAGAGTTTAGGATGTCTTCACTTTCCTTCTTATTAGAAGAAATGTGATAACCTGAATTTTTTAAAACTTTAATCCTATTCGGTTTTGTTCACAATATTAACATTTTAGTGTCCAAACAACAAATTATATGATGAAGAAAGCCAAAAATTTAGTCGAGCCAAATTCTAAAGTCTGTAATACTTCCAACAGTTTGGAACAATATCATAGATTGCAAAAAGTCAAAAATTGATGGCCGACTAAGAAGCCTCGTACTTACAGTTGGAAAGTAAAATTGGACCAGATGGTCCACAAAGTCAACCAATTTGAACCTAGAACCCAAACCGTCAGTTCAGTTTCTTGGTTTTCATTTTCTTCGTGGGTCGGTTCCGAGTTTAAACTCGAACCCAATGTTAATCCCAATCTAACTTATATGAGGCATGATAAAGGTAAGGAATCCTTATATTAAGGGTGAAAGATGTGTGTGATATCATCCAACTTTCGATGTGGGATAATGAAGTTGCAAATTAAAATAGAAAACTTGGGGAAAAATCTGCCAAGCATTTCTCCAACCCTTAACTCAGGTTTCATGGGGAAAGCGCTCAACCAGGAGGATTTATGCTTCTAGTTCGCGCCTCCGATATATGTATTCATACGATTACATATAAAAAAACATGGCGTTCAACCGTTGGGTCGGTTTCTCGGGTTGGATCAATCGATTTCTAGGCAAAAACCGAAACCGAAGCCGATTTTTCGGTTTTTAAAATTTGAAATCCTAATCGTCGGTTTTGCTTCGGTTTTGATCGGTTTCCCGATTTCTTGGTTTGGGTTTGCTCACCCCCAGGAATCATGTTATATTCTAAAGAGTACGCAAAATACAAATACATATTATTTACCATTAAAACATTTTTTTAATAATATATTGTATAGTTTTGCGGTGAATAATAAAAGTTTCATAACGAATAGTTTCATACACCGGGTGACACATGGTTTCATTTTGGCGAAGAGTTTTTTCCCCGGACAACGATTAGTCTTTTGTCGACCTATTTCGGACCCTATCGGCCGTTATTTTTCGCACCGCTTTTTTTGTACCTTACACTTTTTTTTTCAGATGCATATTTTTTCGGGTGGGTTTCGTTCAAACACAATTTGGTCTATCCATATTTTTCGCTAGCTTTTTTTATTAGTCTTTTTCATTAGTTTTGATGTTTGTGTTTTCATTTGAGCCAATTCGCTTAATGATATTCAGCAACTTTCAACACGGCGGAAGGCGGTTATCTTTTTACTCGACAATTTATTTCCTTTTAGTTAGAATTGAATAATTTCTTTTCAGATAGATATCATATTTTTTTTAAAAAAAAAGACATTATTTGCTAACAAATCTATTTAACATTAAAATATATATATTTATACATACTTATATTCATTTTTTACAAATAGTTTTATGTAGTTTTAGAAAATAAAATGCCTAATTTTTAAAAGTGACTTTTTACGAAGACCACTATGTAGTGGCTATCAAAAGGAGTCAATTATATACCATACAATAAAAAATTCACCTTAAATTGAATTAGTAGTCGGACTAAAACTGTCAATATTATAATAACCGTTATCAATTTCATGAAGTTCTACGGCTTATATTATGGTGTTTCCATTTAACGCCACAAAATTATAAAATATCGTCAGTTCATATGTTCAAATTGTATTACCTTTTATATATTCATACATCTCTCTTCTACCTCTCGAACTAACCATGGCTTCCTTGAACTTGACCTCCTAACATGATATTACTAAAACATATAAGGTTTGTAATTCATTTTGTTGTTCCTACTAAGTACATACATAATCAATGATATCATTGTACTTTCAAAGTACAATGCTTTAATAAGAAAAAATATTTAAAATGAAGTTATAAAATGCGTAAATATAACAGATATTTACACACAAACATCCCCATAAATATATTATCGTGTGGTTATCTTGAAAATAGGTAATTGGGTGGAAAATGAAGGCACATCTTCTGGCTTTCCTTTTGAAAATTAGTTTCAAGATTATACTTTTTGAGTAGGAATGAATCATTTGTTCCTTCTATACCTAATTGTTAAAAATATTTAACTAAGGAGTCAAACTATGTGTAAATTTTATACCCAACTTCCTTAAACTTTTCTTTAACCTTTGGATTTACGTCATTGATCATAAAATGAGGCACCAAAGCTTTGTTTTGGAAAAAAACCAATTGCAGCACATAAAATCAAATATTAAAAAATGGTGACATATATCACAATTAATGCTAGAGTTTATGCCTGAGTTGAAAACTAGATTCATAGGGATAAAACAATTCAAATCTCCAATTTGAATCAAATGTAAAAGTATATGTTACAATCAAAAAATCAAATACAAAATTGAGTAAAAGAATAAAAATATTCAATTCGACAAAACCATTTGAAAATTACAATAACTATCACACAATAACATCAATTCCGGCTACATGAAAACATTTTTAGGAGTGCATCATCATTTTAATTGAACAACTAAGCTCCCCCATTTAACCTGGGCTAAATGGACCAAAGCCTCTAGAAGATGATAATTAATTGGAATTGCCTTTAGTGTTCACCGACTGACATTTCCACACCCTGCATAATCACATCTCAATCAATAATTTTAAAGGCGAAATAGAATTTACAAGTTATGGATGGATTAAGAAGACATATATTGAAGCTTAACGGGGTTTTTTTTACCTGTTGTGCCGTCCAAATAATACTCCATCATCCATTTCATAGCAAATTCTGTACAAATGTTCATTTGTCCACTGTCTGTCCTACATCCAAAAAAAATTAAAGCTTCATTTATAGACCCATTTTTTATTTTTTAAATAAACAAAAAAAATTTACTCTTGCCCTAGCATTATCTCATTTCATCCATCTGTTTTTAACAGAACCATAACCTTGAAATAGTCTAAAAACCTTATTAACAAAACCACAAAAGAAACTCGCAAAAATCAATAGATCAGTTAAGGTCGGATCTGCCAATATCAACAAAAGATTTCAATAGCCACCTGAAAATCTTGAAATTTGTACTAAGTTTTCCAATAGACTGGTTCCAAAACTGAGGTGCAGATACAAAAACATAGCAGCAATCTCGTCCGAAATTGAGTTTCTACAATATTAACTTGGAGAGTACATAAACTTAGGGACAATTTCGTCCATAAATACTTTTACAAATCTGATAAGAGGCATAAAATCAAGGCAAAAGTTAGAAAAATAAGCTTGAAATTAAGGCAGAAATCAGAGAAAAATCACGACATTTCTTGGATAAATAATGAAAGACAGATCAGGAATATTACCTTTTAACAACTTCATAATTGTCCAAGAATGGGATATGGTGGGTAAGTTATGTTAGAAGGTGGTCACCCAAACGAAGTGTTTGAGGACGACATCTGCCATGCTTCCCCTGTTTCTTCCCCTCTCATGAATCTTGAGAGACACACAAACATAAAGAATGAGAGAGAGAGAGAGAGAGAGAGAGAGATTCATCTGGAACTTAATCAACCATCGAAGAGATCGACAGATGAATATCGACGAAAGTGCAAATTAACATCGACGAAGGCTAAAAGGAACTCGAATGGAACGACAACGGTAGAGTTTTTCTTTGTTCGATGGCATGGCCATACTTAGGTCAACAAGGACGGAGGAGAAGCTTCTCTGGTGGCTGATCGGGGTGGGTTTGATAGAGGTGAATGAACGGCCGAAATTAGATTAAAGGAACGGAGAAAACGTGAGTTTAAGAGATAGGGAGCATATTCTTTATAGGGGTGGGAGGAACAAAGCAACATATAAGATATTATACGGGTTTTTGTCATAAAAGCCCTTAAGTTTTTCGAAAATGTTTGGATTTACAAGAAATTTTAGGTTCAATAATGTCTTAAGTTTTGTTTAATTTGTTGGTTTATGCCTTTTAGCAAGTCAAGCCGGTCATATGTATGAGTGGGCGCGCCAATTGGATCCAATACGAAGTTGCCGACACTTTGTAAAAAAATCAGAAGTAGAATAGCAAAAGACGGCTTGAGATGATAAAATCAAAATTAAAGGTTGTATTGATAATTGAAATTGAGAAAAACTACCAGGAACCAAGTTTGGCTTTGACAAAACCCCTAATTTTCCATCGACGTTTTCAAATTTTTGGAGCTTTCTTTAGTGGCAACCTCCGCACATCTCCTCTTCAGACTCGTTGTCTTCGCATTAATCCAAATCTTTCTTGAGCTGATTGAAAAAAAAAAAAAAAAAACATATGTTAAACACTCTTTGAGGCACTTGATCGAATAAATAGAGTGCAAGATATATTTACCATGAGCTTTAATTACAAACTATTGCCAATTTTTTATGTTTTTTATATAATCTTTTTTTAAAAATATTATTATAATAATTGATAAACATACACTATCTTATGTGAACAAATAAGTCAATAATTTATAGAAAGATGTATTCTGCTCATATTTAACTGTATAAGTCATATTTGTTTGGGTACTATAAAAACTAAAGAGAACCCAATAAAAACCAAAATCCATTTATTAGATAAAAATTGATTAACGATTCATGAATTATACCAATATACATATGTTTTTCAAATTCTTTTGGTAGATTTTAAAACTTTACATGAAACAGAAACTTATAATTAATTTTATTAAGACCAAATAAGAATTAAAAATATTCTGTATTTGAATTTGAATACTCTATTTACAAAATAAATTTCTTTAAAAATATAAGGCTTCATCGAAACAAAAACTCAAACCTTTGTGATCAACTTAATTTCAAAAGATAGTCTTTTTGTCATTTAAAAAGAAATTATATATGTGAAATATGAATAGTAATTATTCATTCAATTTTTATCTACAACCACGTCACACAATCTATGCATTCTAAGTCCAATAGAAAGTTTACATCCACAAAACTTTATCACTTGGGATCAAATCTATAATTTCAATTATCGATTTGGATTATGACTTGTTTCTTGTAGAAAAATATTTGTCGTCTCTTGTGTACAATATGTGGCTGTCAACCAAAAGAAAACTATTATAAAAAAACTATTAATTGCCCGTTGAAAGAAACAATACGCCAAAAAAACAATTCATTACTTGCCAAAAGGAAACTATTCCCAAACCAACAACTCCATACCGTTCGCCGCTTTGCGCAGATTCACAACTAGTATAAAAGCACGTTGATCTTAGAAACAGTTATTTTTGCGGTGTAAGCCACATTATTTTCAACGTTTTGCAATTTAGTCCCTCCATAACTTCACAGTCAAATACTTCTCGAACCTTCCCTTTACTGCCTCGTCTCACTCAATTAATGCTTACCCCTTTTTTTCTCCGGCCACCGACTTCATGTTCTTGCTCAATCTTATACTCCTTTATATTGTTCTCAGATTCGTTCTTCGTGTTTCGTCGGGTCCTGGAGCAAGTTTTGGTGAACATAGGGCGATTTTGGGTGATTTGGGAGCTTTTGAAGATTTCTAATCAACCCGTCAATATCTCATCCAATTTCTTAAACCTTTCTTTGTTGTCGGTTTCTTACCAAGGTTTTCTCTCCGTTTTTTTCGGAGACAAAGATGAACGGAGGAGGAGTTTCTACCCAGTTAATCTGATTCCGCCTTTCTCACCCCTTGATCTTCGATTGTGAAGCATATGTGAGCCTCACACCAAATTGATTGAAGTTTCACCATCGTTCCAATAGACTCCCAGTTGTCGCTGGTCTTCAGGTTGATTGACATCGCTCGGAGCTTTCAACGGTAACAAAAAAAAGTTACTTTTTTTTACTTGTATCTCCTCTCTGATCTGTTAATCTGTATCCAATATTTAGTTTCTGAGATTCTGATTTGTGTGGAGAAAGAGGGAGAAAGAGAGAGAGCAAGGGAGGAAGACCATTATTGATTTCCGGCCCCTTTGGCTTTGAAATTTAAACCTGAATTATGTTTTCCCCCAATTTTCCTTTGGTCAGCTTCAATTGATTGTTTCAGGTTCTATTGTGCTTTGTCGATTGCCTGCTCCTTTGGATTTGGGTACAATTATTGATTTTATTTTTCCTACAATCGACAAATCATAGTCTGTCCTACACTTTTAGCCGTATTTATATGACTCTTGATTCTAATAATGTAACTGCTGATTATTTCCTTTCACTTTCAGGTCGAGTAACCCAATTGTCAATGTTGGGCTTGCCAATTGAAGTGCTGCAAAGTTGAATTAACATGTTTACCAAAACTGTGGCACGGGACTATTCCAACAGGGCCATTAATGTGAGTTTCTAATCTGGATCTTTTACCACTGAAACCTCAAATATGTAGGTGTAGTAATCTGTAAGTAATTCTTATTTATAGTAAATATTATAGGTGAATGTACTAAAAGTATGCATAGCAGGAAAACTCTCAAACAAAGTATGATGCAACTTCTGTATCTCCATCTCTTACTTTCTTCCATAAATGGATTCTGATGGTTTTAGATAAAATTTGCATTCACGATTTATTTGTAACTACAGTTCATCAAGCTACTACGGATAATTTTTTTTGGATGCAGGGTCTGATCACAAAAGGAGAGAGGTTGTATTGAGTCAGCAGTTGCACCATTTGGTAATTAATTAATTGTGTTCATTTAATTAATTATATGAAAATGAAACACTTTAAAAAAAAGTTATATACTTTACAAATGGGGATGACAAATTTATAGTGTTTTGCAGGTCAAAAAGGTCAAAGCTCATGTTCATCTTGGTTTATCTGAGGTTGGAGGTCTTTTCAATGAGCATGTATGTACTCTCTTTTTTTGTTTATTAAGTATAATTTTTTTACTAATTTTAGGCTAGATTACAGAAAATACCATTATATTTTGAGAAATTTTGTGGTTTAACAACTAATACAATATTTTTTTCCCATCAAACCTTAAACTAAAAAGACATTTTTTCATATTAACCCTTTTGACACGTTATATATATATCAGGTTTCATTGGTAATTTTCCAAATTAACCATTTCAGCATGTTACGTTTTATCATGTTAAAATATATAATTGGAAAAAATGTTTGAAACTTCTATGGTTTGATTGAAAAATAAAGTATCAAATGATTAAACATTAAAATTGTTGAAAATATAATTGTTTTTCTGTGATTTGCCCTTAACTTTATAGAAATATTGACAATGAGGGTATTTTGGTCATTTGGCAAAAAAAATTAAGAATGAAATTAAAATCCTTCCACCCGATCTTAGGAACAATGAAATCCATCAAACATTGATGGAATTTGATGGACTTGAATTATGTCCATTTGGCAACCAAACAAACCATGGAAAGGAATCAAAAATTCCAATTCTGTCATATTCCCTTACAATCCGTGAACCAAACACGCTCTTAGTGAATTTTCTATTTTTAAAATTTCACTCTTAATAAAATTTTCTATTTTATTTATTTCAACATATACGCCGAGGCTATTAAAAATTAAGGATGAATTCAATTTCCTTATACCTAACCATACGAATGGTGAAACCCTTAAAACACCAAATTTGAAGGATTTGGCAACCATGCATGATTACAGACCATGGAATGGAATCTCCAATTCCAATTCCGTTGGAATCCACATGCCAAACACGTCCCTTAGACTCATCCTCTAATAAACCAAAAAAATCTTATAAATATTTACAACTCATGAAACAGCTAAATGCACTGTTGTTGATGCTTTCAAGTATGCGGGTGAAAATATAGTTTTTGGAAGTGGAAGGCCTTTTGAGCATGTTGATCTCCGTATTATTACTTCCCAAATTTTCGTTGTTTTCATATTTTATCTATCAAATATAATTTAAATATAATTCCATTCTTCAGCTTTTTTTGTGCTTAATTGTTTCTTACATTTTTATGATAATTTATAACAGGAAATGGGAAAGTAGGTCATGTGAATCAACCAAATAACATGTACTTCTTCCCTGGGTGAGTGCTTATTTTGTTATTTTTATAAATGTAGTTATAAAAATATGTTCTATATTTATTTATTCATTCAAAAAATTATATTATATTTGTTCAATATATTTTGCCTATACAGGGTTGATTTGGGATCTCTGTTATCCGGTGCTCATATGATATCTGATGGAATGCTGCAACCTGCTTCTGAATGGTAATTTAATCTTTTATGAATTATCTGGAATTAAAAGTAATCGTAGCATAATATTTGTTATATGCCAGCTAATATAATTTTCTTTCTATACAGTTAGGGCTGTAAACGAACTGAACGTTCGACGAACAGTTCATGAACCGTTCGGCGGAAAGTTCGTTTATTTAATAAACGAACGAACATGAACAAGATATCTGGTTTGTTTAGTTAAACGAACGAACACGAACAATGCTCTCGTTCGTTCATTTACGTTCGTGAACGTCCATTCATTTATGTTTGTTTACGTTCGTTCATTTATGGAATGACAAACAACTAAGTTAAACTTTATTGTATGGAAATGTTGAACACGTGTTTGTTTTCGTTTAAGTTCATGGTTTATTTATGTTCGTTTAAGTTTGTTTATGCTTGTTAACTGTTCGTTTGGCTTTGTGTTCATTTATGTCCGTTTGTGTTCGTTTATGTTCATTTATGTTCGTTTATCTACTAAACGAACGGACATAAACGAACACGGACACACTAAATTGTTTAACGAACGAACACGAACATAAAAAGTTTGTTCGTTTAGTTGTTCGTGTTCGTTTGTTGTTCGGTTAAAGTTAAACAAACAAACACGAACAAGCCTTTGTTTGTGTTCGTTTGGTTCGTTTACAGCCATATATACAGTCTTGCTTCTTATATGATAGAATTAGGTTAAAACCCGTGGAACCCACGGTGTAATTTTTAAATAGAATTAAAAAATTGATTATGTAATAAAATAATATATCATTAATTTAGAAAAACTTATGAATTGTAATATTGTTTTTTTAATAACTTTGTAATTTGTAAGTATTTAATTACATATGTAAATTCACCTATTTTATAAAAGTCATGAGTTTGTATAATGCAAAATAATTTCACTTTTGGAGCTTTTTTCTTATTAAATACATGGAAGTTGTGACGCGCTCACAAAACAAGCTGTAAAGATTTAATATGAAAAATAATATGAAGCAAGTATTTTCTTTATTTTTACTTTTTTTTTATAATGAAGAGAACTTGAAAATCTTAATCACCAACTTAAAAAAAAAATCAAGATTTAAGCGACATACGCCTTGATGTCTGGTTGCTATCAATTCACCACTGATAATCGGTCTCATTTTTTTGTGTTTTGTGCTCATTGTTTTGAATCTATGTTTCTCAATTATGATTCCCACTTTGCCATTCGACTCTTTTTTCTTTATGTTTCTTCTTGTCTTTGTTTTATATTTCTTTATCTTTCTTCTTGTCCCCATTATGACTAAAAAACCTAATGTACCGGCTATCTCAGATATCACTAACCATCAGCAACTAAGTATCAATCTGTTAATGAAGACATAAATGAAAAAAAAAAATCAAAAGTAAGCTTTCATGAGAATCAAAATCTGATCAGACATTTTTTCAAACATCCAACCTGCAAGTCAAATCATCACATTCAAGTTGTTTCTTGATATTGATTTTTGCATCTTTCAATTTGAACATCTTCCTGTTTATGCCTTCTTTTTATGTTGGCTTCTTGAACTTTGACTTCATCATATATGGTAAAATGTTATAGGTAGATGAGATAATTATATGATTTATAGGTTTTCAGAAGAATCTATTCACCTTTAGATGCTTCTTAAATTAAATGTGAAGATCTAATTTATCAATTAAGGTTAACTAATTTCCTTATTGATAATTGCAGATGGATCAGTGAACCAGAAACATGATAAATCCATTGGAATCCTACATCACAAAGACATATTCATACTATCAACGATGAAGCGAAATACACGCAACTCGTTAAACTTGACATTTCAAACAATTAACAATACATTAAGCAAAAGTTAGGTTATGGAGGCTACTAATTCAGCCGAAAAGAATCAAAACAAATGGCATTTCACTTATCGATGAGTAGAATTAAATATGTCCCACATGAAATAGTTTAAATATTAATAACATTGTACTCTAAATGTACAATGTTGTAATTGAGAGGCTTTATCTTTCTTTTATACACAAATTGCAACACAAACAAAGACTGAGTTCTTATAAATGTCAACAAATCAAAAACAACTTAAATGATTTCCTCAGGTTGAACTTCATATAATGAGTTGTGATTAGATAATATTATTTACTAACTAATTAAATTCCAAACATATATGTAAAATATGCCACGTTTATAAAATTTATGGAATAAAAATCACTTTACAAATATTTTTTTCAATTGCCGATATATAATGTTAAATTTAAATTCTAGCATTATTACAAATAAGTTACATTTGATTAGGGACAACAATATATTATCATATTACATATTTAAGTCTCAATTTAATGGACATCTAAAGCTTTTCATTGATCCGTCGTGGTTGAAAAATAAATAATAGCTAACTTAGAATGTTAACTGAAGCATTGCACAAAAATACTTTATTAATGCGTGAAGTATAAATTTCAAATTTGAAAGCTGCAAGCCTAAAACACATATCTATCACAACTATATCAGTCGATTGCTACTTAGTTTAATGCAAATTAAATCAAAACAAACATTAAATTAAAATTATTCTCCAATTGGGTCATATACAATGTCTTTCCGTTCAGGGTTCTCTATGATTACTCATAACTCATGTTAATAGTAGCATATAATATATAAATTAAGCCATTATGGAACATTTTATTTTCTTACTGCTTGAATATTTATAAACTAAAATCAAACTCCGTAATATCTTAGAATAATCTCACCCCAAATTCTTAAAGTTTTTCAACTTATTTGCTCCACATATTGTCCTCTAACATGCCATCTTTCTTTTGAAAGTTTCTTCCTGTTTTAATATAAAACCTGGGGAAAAAAGCGAAAAGTGGATTTACAAATTTGTTTTTTTTTTTTGAAAAAATCAGTATGCATCATGTTTCCACATTGAGAACATTTTCATATTGACCTTTCATGGAATTGGGCAATGCCAATGGCCCTCCCTGGAAATAGCACATCAATGATCTACATTGACATAAATGTAAGATAAATAAACATATAAAAAATTATAGATCAAAGAAACTATAGTTGAAGAAACAGAACAGATATCAATTACATAATTTTTGCCACTCACATTGTAGTTTCAAGTGAAATTATATAATTGAGTAGCTTAAATTCAGTTCAGTTTAAGTATTTTCAATCCATTACTAATAACTATTGGACATTTTCATGTTAGGTATGTGCTTAAAGAAACAATTTGGTATGTGCTTAAAGGAACAATTTGTACCTCCAATTTCATATACCATTCCCCTACATATTCTTCTACCATTTCAATCAAATTTTCAGCATCACCCTCCTAAATAATAGGATTACTTTGTTCATAATTAAAATATATTAGAATGGATATAAATCATGCATGATTCAAATAAATTAGCCACAATGATTTACCTGTTGCATAAGACTTTCTTCTTCTTTCTCTCTCAATGGCTACTACATATCATAATGCTTAGAACAACCTTTTTACCCTTCTTAGGTCCTGCAAATAGATACAATGAAAAGGGGGATCACAACAGGAGGAAGAAAGCAACTTATTTATTATTATTAAATAACTTAGAATTAATCTATTCATGCATCATTGCCTCATAAAGGTTTGTTTTTGTTGGTTTTTACTCTTCATATTATGATCAAATAAGAAAAGGGAGTTTTTAATGCAAACCTGAAATCATGCTTCATAATGTACTTTCAGCTACAACTATTTTTTGAAAGAGAAATGAAGTTTTTCTTTGTTACCAATGACACTTTCAGCCATGTCCATAAATGCCTTACAGAGGGGCATAAAACATACAACAACTCATATGAAAGTGGCATTTAATCAAATACTTGTGCTGCATGTGCCTCTTGGTCAGTAATTAATGAAATTACACATATCAATAATCCACAATCTGCATATCATCAATCATCACAATCTGGTTCCGGATAGCGTAATTTGTGGAACTTAATTAGCATAGTAGAAGAAATGATACTACATTCGCACACTTTTCAGTCGTCTACAACATATGATATTAAGAAATCACGAAATCATTATAAAAGTTTAACCTACATGCTGAAATTCGATGAAACACAACTAAATTTTGTGAGATTTATGGAGATGAAGAACTCAGAAAAAAAAAATAAACGCAACAATTAGAAGAAGAGCAATAATTACCTAATCAGAGGCGCAACCCTAAACCGGCACCATCATCGCTGATTAAATGAGAAAACAGTGAGAAATGGCAGCATAGAAGCATCGACACATGAATGTGGTTAATGGTGGCTCTTTTAGGGTTTGTAGATAACGGCGACATTGAGGATTTGTATATACAAGCTCGCCAAAGAGATAATATTCTAAGTAGTTGGATGAACCGAAATTGATGAGAAAATGGAATGCAAGGGCAATTTAGGAAATTCAGTTTCATCATATGAGCGGGAAAAATCAATTTGGAGGTCTTTAGAGAATGCGACGTGGCAAAAATCTACTTATTTATTAGATTAGGGGATAAGAAATTCAAATGGGCAGACTTAATCCATCTATCAATAGGTACATACATGATGTCTCAATTTTTGTTAGGAAGGCTATTTTAGACATTTAAGGGTACACATGGTTTCTTTGATAGTTAAAGTTTGTTACTTTGATAATTAAAGTTTGTTACAAGTATGATTTCTGTACTTTTGTCTTTGCTGAAAGGGTATTTTGGATGTTTAATATATAGTCAAACATTTTTCTAAAGGGTACACATGATCTCTTTTTGAAAAATGTACGCAGTTATAACATCGTGCTTTCAATACTGTTATTTGAAAAATCTACCCATTTACACATTCAACATTGCTATAATTGGGTCGGATTTTCATAGTAGAATGTTACAATAAGAACAAAAAAAGTAGCATATTAATAATAAAACAATAAATGAAACTATGTCGCTATTTTCTTTCCAATAATATCCAAATCAGCTCCTTTTGGCGCGACGAAATTCCTTCTAGTTATTATAAAAAAATATATTTTATTTCATTAAAATGAACCTTCTTGTATTTTTTTTAACTATTTGTTTATTAATATTACATATTTTATTTTATTAAAACAAAGTTGTTAGCTTTATTCCACAAATATATTTATTAATATGAATTATTAGACTTGCCTTAGACCATCTCCAACCCATCTTCATTTTTCCCCACATAAATGGAGTAAAAAATAGAGTAAATAGTGTTTCATCTCCAACCACTTTAGTTTCTACTCATTTTTTATCCAAAAAGTATATTCCTAGAATATTTCATTTTTATAACTTATATATATTTTCATATACACCCCTCTACTAATTAGATTTTAACAAATATATATTATATTTTTTCATTACAAAAATAT